CTTTCCTGTGTCGGCTCTGGTACTCACTGGGCCCTTTAACGAGCTGGTTCAGCCCACTAACCCAACGGAAAACCACTTCTTCCCTGCTGGGCTGTCATTTTTGCTGGGTTAGTGAGTTGAAAGGCCGACTGCCAGCAGCAGTAACCATCTGTACTGCTATGCCAAGGGGAGCAATGGGAGCTGTGAGGAAGAACATGGATGGGTACAGCGTCCCTCCTCATGTTGGTGGTGGTAAGCTGTTAAAATTGGCTCAACTTTTCTTGTTTACTAACAAAACTTCTCACATTTCTTACTGTCACTTCTACTAGGCGGTAACCTGTTGTATCTCAACAAAAATTAAATGCCTTGAATACATATATGAAGAATCTCAGTGGTATCACTGTGGTGTTCATTTTCATACTGAATTCTGTAAAGAATTGTCTAACTGTCCACTGAAGCTGCAACAAAATGACTAGTATGCACTGGAGGTCCACAGAACAACAGTTGCCGTGGAAATGGAGCCCAAAAAATTGTACAGTAGCTTGGGTGTAGACATCCAGGGGTTCAATGCAGCTGTTTGGATTGTTCTAGTAAGTCATCCTGTTGTTTTGTAGTAAGCATCCTGGCAAAACTGAAACTCACGGTGTACAGGAATATATATATATAGTATTATATAATATAAATATAGAAAAAAATATATTTATTTGAGCAGGCCTTCACCTCTTAGCAATAGCAGGGTACTTTCAAAGCAGCTGAGTGAGGTGGCTCACACTCAGTTTGAGTCCAAAGACAGGGGGATTGCAGGAGGGGCTGCTGGGCTGCCTCCTTTCATTAGTTTGCCCCCTCCTGTTTTGAATGAGGCATGGCAGAAATGGGCAAGAAGTGATCACCCCAACAGGATGCAGAGAACAAAGTATCTGCCTTCCACCCAATTACAAATGTAGCATTGGCTGTTTATCAGAGTAATGCTTCCACCCATTAATTCCCAAGCTTTCTGGGAAAAAAAGCTTACCCCTGTAAGTCAGCAGTGCTTCGTCAAGGAACTCTGCAGCTGGGCGGAAGTGTTTAGATATATCCATATCTGGAAAATCATCCACTTCAATGCCCAGGTATTGGATATTCAGACCATTGTAGAAACCTGGTCCTGTGTATACACCTGTCCCATGAGCTGCGTTCAAGACATGCGTGATCCCCAGTCTCTTCAAACGGCTTTTGTTCACTGCAACACTTCTTCAGAATAGAAAAAAAAAGATGTTAGGTATCAGTGCTCCTATTTCAGGTAGGAAAGAAGCTGTCTGCTACAAGGTCTACAGAGCTCCCAGTCTGTGTTACTTATCCAACACACAGCTCCACTCAGATCTTAATGTCCTTTGAGAGTTCTACAGGTATTTTTTTCCAATACTGACTGGGAAAAGAAAATGAGAAACCTGCACTCACCAGCAGACCTGCATGCTCAGTTTCCACTCCAACTTGATATTAAACTCATCCTGCCATCCTAGGTTCAGGTTGCTTACTATTTCTCAATTTTTATCACTCCATAATTGACGCTTTAGACTATATCCCCTTCTAATCTGTCTGGTCATTTGCACAGGTGTCTCAGACAGCTGAGCCATGGTACAGAAGACCTAACCATTTCCACTCGATATTTGCTACAGCATTTCTTTTTTAACTCTCTTTTACATAACAAAGACTTCAGTCCCAATTTCAGGGCCAAATTCCAATCAAAAGAGTGTGATTTAGGCTCATTTGCCTCCTCCTCTACTAAATTGTCGAAGCATCAAAATATCATAGGAAAGTTGCTGATTCTATTCCAGAAGTATTTACTTTTCAGCGCACAGAGATCTTTGTGAGCATATTCTGAAAAACACTTTGGGGCTTTCTAGGGATGAAAAGCATTAGATGTATGTAATACATGCTATGCCTTCAATGGTTTCATCTGACCCTTCACTGGGAATCTTGTGCAACTTAATGACAAAAGCTGACACTCACTTTTCTGCTATGAAGACATTAGGCCAGACTTCATCCACAGCATCCCTGGGGGTTTCCAGCCTGTCCTTCACAAGTGCCCTCTGCAAGTCCATCACACATGGCGTGTTAAACAAGCTGGTGTCATCAATCTTTTCCTTAACTCTGTTGTACAGGTCTTCCACCATCAGCTGCCGTGCAGACTCTAACATCCTGGGACACACTGAATCTACCTTGGTGTCCTTTGTCTTCAGCTCTGGAATAAACTGACATTGTAACTAAAAGCATGTAAAACCAACACAAATATATGACCTGTCATTCTTTGTTCCTGTGACAAGCCTTGTAGCTTGCTTTTTTTCACAGTCACATCACACCATCCTGTCTGGAATATGTGCACGTGCATGCTTATCTCGTAGCCTCAAGGTAGTTAGCAATAGGAAGAGCATATTGCACTGTCCTTTCAGTCCAGAGACCCACACTGGCCAAAGGCCTGGGAGTTAATGGCACACTCATTCTAGCCGCAGAAGAGCGCAGTCACTCTCTACAGCTTCCTGAGGAGGGGACGTGCAGAGGGAGGCGCTGATCTCTTCTCCCTGGGATCCAGTGATACAAAGGGTGGGAATGGTTCAAAGCTGTGCCAAGGGAGGTTCAGACTGGACATTAGGAGGCATTTCTTTACTGAGAGGGTGGCCAAACACTGGAACAGGCTTCCTAGAGAGAGGGGTGGTTGATGCCCCATCCCTGTCAGTATTTCAGAGGCATTTGGACAATGCCCTTAACAACATGCTTCAGCTTTTGGTCAGTCCTGAAGTGGTCAGGCAGTTGGACTAGATGGTCATTGTAGGTCCCTTCCACTGAAATATTCTATTCTATTCTATTCTATTCTATTCTATTCTATTCTATTCTATTCTATTCTATTCTATTCTATTCTATTCTATTCTATTCTATTCTATTCTATTCTATTCTATTCTATTCTATTCTATTCTATTCTATTCTATTCTATTCTATTCTATTCTATTCTATTCTATTCTATTCTATTCTATTCTATTCTATTCTATTCTATTCTATTCTATTCTATTCTATTCTATTCTATTCTATTCTATTCTATTCTATTCTAGTTTGTTGGAGCGAGCAACCACCAATTGAACTGTTTTCACCACTGCAGTACGTGATTTTGCCACAGATTCAGTTCACAACTTCAAAGGAAGTCACCACATTTTTCAGTAAATGGTTATTTATTTGTATTTTTCACCTCTGCCTCAGATGGGGGTTTTCTCATAAAGGCTTATCGTTTTAGGATCTCTGGATGAGAAAGGCAAAACAAGTGCAACTCAAGTCTCTATTACTTACATAGTTCTTTTACCCTTCCTCCTCTTACCTTCATTGATTATTTGTTTGGCAGCCACAGCAGACGACAGATGGATTGGTTCCATGAAGATGCTCTCTGTATCAGTGTCCGATATCACTGAATACCTGCCAACCAACCACACTGCCTATTAGGCAAATGCCCTCCACTGGGATCCCATCTCCAGGACTTCAGCCCTTTTCACCTATTCCAGAAGGGAGCAGCAGGGAATTGGAGCAGTGAGGATCCTTTCATAGCAGAAGGGAAGCCCCAGCTCTTCTCCCACCCCTCACCCCCACCCTGCTCTCCAGTGTGACTCTACAGGCTTCAAATATGCCTTGGTATCCAGTGTTTGCAGGATGTAGGCAGGTCCTGTGGGGAGGAGCTACAGTGAGCTGGGAGTGCAAGAGAATGGACTGGTGGAGGAGTTTTTGGGTAGAGAAGATCAGTGTCTGGTTTGAGACTGGAAGGGGGATGGATCACAAAAAAACAGTGTCACAAGTAGCTCTCGCTTAGACAGACAGACATAAACATATTCCTAACTGGAATTTATTGAACAATTCAAAACAGATTATGCTAGAAAACTGTTGGGTTTTCTTTTTCTGTTAGCTAATTGCCCACAAGCCTCCTTTGAGTTACTGCAAGCCGAAATGCAAGCATTAAGACTGAAGCCTGTGAATCTCTCCCACGGTACTCAGTACATTGGTCACTTCATAGCATGAATCTGTGGTCAGTCTCTCCACTCACAGTGTTGTCTAACTGCAGGTCAGAAACAACTATGAAACCCACAAACATCTTTGAAGGGAGTTCTTTGACACACAGCGTGATTTACATAAGTTTTTGTTAAGCAAAAAAAGGGCCACAATCTTGAAAACAAATATATTTCCATCTGAGTCCACCTGTACAGTCCAAGCAAATCTTCTCTTCTTATTTAGAATACCTTAACAAAATATTTTACAGAGCTTTTTCCCTGATGCACACCCTCTACATTTCTTTCCAAATAGCTGGTACAGATCATTACGACAAGTTTGCTGCCATCAGAGAAGCTATCTGGCAACGCAGGCTTGCACTACTTACAAGACACTCTTTGTTTTTGTTTAATTAAAGCAGGAGAGGGAGGGTGATTAACGTGCAGTCAGGGTGCAGCAAAGTGTCTGGAGAGCTAAACTGCTTTCATTCTCCAGAATTAAAATGGAGGGCACAGCCATCGGAAACCACTTAATGGGCTTGTCTAGGTCATTTAGTTGGGTTCCAGCACTTGTCAACTGTGACTGAAAGTAATCCTTTTCTAGCTCTTCAAAGGAGTTTATGAGATGAGCAAGGGGAGTCTCAGTCTCATTTACAGGAGCTGACACAAATTTGCAGCTATGCCCTGCATTCAATTCCTTTTGCTGTAAAGGTTGCCTCCGAGCTTAATAAAAAGAAAACAGTTGGTAATAATCTGCCACCACAGACTCAACACATTTTACCTGTAGCTGCCCCAAGCATCCATGAACCACACAGGTGCAGAACTGCCCTAATCCCGGATGCTTCAAGGGCCTCGTTCTGTTTGGGAAGGACCTTGCCATTTTCATCATTGCTTTTGGTGCTGACAGCAAGAAAAGCAGGAGAAAGGGGGGGGGAAAAAAAAAGGG